TGATATTTTATCTTATATTTTCAAGAGAAAAAAAATTACAATGAAATAAGCTATATCCCTTAATACAAATATTAATTATCCTTAAAAAAATTAACCAACTTTCCGTTGAAGAAAAAAATCATGCAAAACTTTTCAATATCTTACAGACAGTGAAATAAGAAAAAAATAACATGAAAGAAACTCAAAAAACAAAAAATTCTGCGCACAATTTTACTCTGCAGAACAACTATATAAAAAAAAATCAATAACAATGTATTATATATAAAAAAAATGACAATGAAATATGCCAATCTCTTAAAAACAGTGACATAAGAAATACGATGAAAAATTGTTGCCAAACCCATATTTCTAAAAGAGTGAAACTATTCAAAATGATGCAATTTCATCAAAAATCTTTAATTTAATTATATTTTAAAATTAAATTATAGTTATTTTGTGAATTATATGTTTGTAGCATTTTGGAATACGTTTCAGTAGAAGTAAAGGTGCATGGAAATAATTTAAATATTTGACACTAAGTATTTGCAACCATTTTTAATGTTTTCGTTATAAATTCGCAGGTGACATTTATAATAGATAATTTAGAGGGAAAAGTTTTTGGATATTTTATTTATTTTATATGTGCAAATGTTTATCCTTGGAAAGGGTATATACTTTTTCGTGATCAGGTAGTTTCATATATGTCCTTTTTACCGACTTTAAAGATTCACAAAATTTTCCTCCATTTTCGTGCAATTTTTTGTAATTTATGAGAAAAAAGCAGTGTACATGGATAAAGTCAAGAGTGTGCGCAATGCCATTTTTGTGCAATTCTGGGATTTTTTTAAAGTAAAAATAGGTCGACGTGTACATGGTTACTGTGTATGTGCCATTCTGAAAAACGCGGCAAGGAGTTTGTGATTCTGCACTTTCTCCCAATTTTGCAGCTGACATTCGTCATGATTAAGCACTTTTGTTCCATAAAAGTTCTAGCATAAGCATAATTTGGCTAGCAGATTGTTGGAAAATATGTTCAGGAAATAAAAAAAAAGAAACCTGTCTTTTACTTCGTGAAAGACAAAATGGCGCAAAAAAAAAAAAAAAAAAAGAAAAGAAAAAAGAAGAAGTAGGAAGGTTGGTGTAGCAGGATTGGTTGCCAAATTTTCACCAAAAATCGCCAAGTTACCATAATCCAAAGATTAAACTTTAATTAAATTATAGTTATTTTGTGAATTTTATGTTTGTAGGAATTTGGTATACGTTTTAGTTGAAGTAAACGTGCATGGAAATAATTTAAATATTTGACACTAAGTATTTGTAATGCTTGCGGTATGAATTCGTTGGTGACGTTTATAATATAATAGATGATTTAGAGGTAAAAGTTTTTGGATATTTTATTTATTTTATATGTGGAAATGTTCATATTTGGAAAGGGTATATACTTTTTCGCGATCAGGTAATTTCATATATGTTCTTTTTACCGGGTTTAAAGATTCAGAAAATTGTCATGTATTTTCGTGAAATTTTTCTAATTTATGAGAAAAAAGCAGTGTACATGGATATAGTGAAGAGTGTGCGCAATGCCATTTTTGTGTAATTCTGGGATGTTTTTTTAAGTAAAAATAAGTCGACGTGTACATGGTTTATGTGTATGTGTTATTTTGAAAAACGCGTAAGGAGTATGGTATTGTGCACTTTTTCCCAATTTTGCAGTGAATATTTGTCATGATTAAGCAGTTTTGTTAGATAAAATTTCTAGCATAAGTGTAATTCGGCTAGTAGATTGTTGGAAGAAGTGTTCAGTAGATAAAAAGAAAAGAAACATGTCTTTACTTCGTGAAGACAAAATGGCGGCGGAAAAAAAAAAATAGAGGGTTGCTGTAGGAGAGTTGGTCGCCAAAAAAATCGCCAAATTACCATAATCTAAAGATCAACCTAATTAAAATATCACTAAACCATGTACACGTCGACTTATTTTTACTTAAAAAAAAAAATCCCAGAATTGCACAAAAATGGCATTGCGCACACTCTTCACCATATCCATGTACACTGCTTTTTTCTCATAAATTAGAAAAATTTCACGAAAATGCATGACAATTTTCTGAATCTTTAAACCCGTTAAAAAAAACATATATGAAATTACCTAATAACGAAAAAGTATATACCCTTTCCAAATATGAACATTTCCACGTATAAAATAAATAAAATATCCAAAAACTTTTACCTCTAAATTATCTATTATATTATAAACGTCACCAACGAATTCATACCGCAAACATTACAAATACTTAGTGTCAAATATTTAAATTATTTCCATGCACGTTTACTTCAACTAAAACGTATACCAAATTCCTACAAACATAAAATTCACAAAATAACTATCATTTAATTAAAATATAATTAAATTCAAAAACACTACTTAAAATATAAATAAGCACATACATTAAATTAATAAAAATTAGCTTACAATCCTAATTACTTTAAACTAAATCATTGCTAATAACAATTTTCCCAATAATACCAAATTACTTTACTTCCACCTTACATTTAGAACAATGCATAGAAATAATATCCTCAAATAATTAAAAATACTAACTTACCTAATCTTCTTCAGAATCTTGCTTACATGGTGGATACACTTTTATTATGTATTCAATAAAATTATTGAACGATTTTTTCCTCCACACTTCCTCCGCTAAATAAAAAGCAAAATTCTCTTTATCACAATGCCTCGGAATGGCGCTTTTTATAGCACTCCACGTGCCCTCTATTGTATTGGTATATGCACCTGTTTCTGGATCTTTAAAATAATATTTGTGGTTCACAGCAAGATGTTTAAAACCTTCATCTTCCAAACATTCATACGATTTTCAGCAATCTGAAATAATTACAGTAGCCCGGTAGAATATATTCTTTTATAAAACTTAATAAACAATCTTTACTTCTATCTCGCACAACCTTAAAAAAAAACATTTATTACTACCCCTTTCAATCCCACCAAACACCCATTTTCCTTCCACTCTCCTACCTCTCTGATACTTCCGCTTCCCAAACTTACTCTCATCAATTTCCACAATAACATTCATACCACCAAGCATACCCATATCATTTTCGCAAAATTCCACGCACACTTCCCTACAAAAAGAATTCCAATCAGCTGCAGTCCTACTGCTAATTTCTAAATCCGAAATCCAATAGTCAACTGGCAATCTATTCACCCAATAATAAGAAATCAATAAAAATCTCACCCATACTCAAACGACTTTCAGCAAACCACGTACCCTTCCTTACACTCCGTTTCACAAAATGTCCATTTTCACCAGATTTCTTGCACCGCCATTCAAACTTATCAGTAATATCCTTCCTTTCACACAATCTCATTTCATTCCCACATTTTGGACATTCATACTTATCCGCAATTAAACCTACACTCATGCACCATTCAACCAATTCTTTTGAATTATCACACAAACGCATTAAAAATCTAGAATTCACTTTAGACAGCGCCATACAATCCCAAAATTATTCAACCCTACTTCACACAACACACAATGAAGCTTAATACAAAATAATATACAGCCACAGATATTTTTCCAAATTCCCCCCTTTTCCGATTAAAGAACCGTAATTCGTCCATTAATATCACATGACATATCCCATGATCTCTCATTTCCCTCACACAAAATAATGCGTAATCGGAACTGAGTACTGCTCACATTATTACCAAAGTCCCAGGTAGTAACCTTTATCGCCTCCAAAATGTCGCCAAACTACCAGTTACCATATTCTAAAGATCAGCCCAAATTATTTACATAAAATACATACTTTTCTACTGATTCCTCAATGAACTACAGTCAAAAGTCGTTAATTCGGACACCTATAATCCAGAATGATCTATAATCCGGACCTCAAAGCTACAAACTTTCTGCGCATGTGCCGCTTTAACGCATGCACATAAGACCTTCACGGCTGCGAATATGCGTGTGCGCATGCGCAAAATACGTTTACGAATGCGTGTTTAATGTATAACAGATGGTATAAGCTAAGCTAAAGTTATCTAATTCAGTTAACGTTGCAGATTGCATTGTTCCTTAATCTTCGAATTGGATCCGGGTTACTAATTTTTGCAGACTGTTAGAGCAATTTTATAAAAGTAAGCTTGAACTTTCGATTATGTCAAATAAAATTTCTGATATATATTTACTAATATGTAAAGGATCTGCAAAGCGAAAATATGTTTCGAAGTCCGTTTAACTAAAAGTGGAATTGCTGCAAAAAAATGGATAAAGGCATATCCTTTGTTTATCTAACCATTTAAAAATCTGTTTATCAATTTCACGCTGCTATGCGGCGGGGAGGGAAGCCGCAGCGCGCAATGAATTGGAAGTTGATCTGTCAGCACTATCCTTATCTTCAGGGCAGATGTTTTTATTTTATTTGGCTTATAATTCCTTACTAAATGTAGTATTTCATCTCGATGTACTCCGTCTTTGATATGATTTAAATCAAATTCCTCGTCATTATAATTCGCTTCCGATAGCGAAGAAAGTGACACAGAGTTTATTGAAAACGAAAAAATTTCGATTGACAAATTAGTCGGTATTCTCGACACAGCAATTATAGGACTTGAACAGCGGAACTTTGTAACTGAACAAGAAATTATGTCTGTTTATAGAATAAAAGAGAAAGTATTATCACATAAAATGAAGCAATTTAAACAACTTACATTGAAAGAAATGTTTAATAAAGTAAACAAATAAATATTAAGCTTTTTTTTTTTTTTTGTAAATTTTGATACCCTTTAGATCATAACTGTTCTTTATTTCATAAATTATGGTTTCATATTTTTAATTTTATAATTTTGCATGCCATCTTACCAGATTTAAACTGATGATCGATAATCCGAAAAAATCGATAATCCGGAATCGCCGAAGTCCCGACGAGTCCGGATTAACGACTTTTGACTGTATTAGAATTTTGTCTTAATTTAGAATAGAAAATAAAAATATTTAAATACTTACAAGTATATTCCAAGTACTGTTTTCCAGAAATAAAGACAAGACACCATCAATTTCTTTGCACACAGAGTGATGTTTTGCAGCTTCATTTGTATAGATTTCGCCTGCAAGTCTCAAAATGCTCGCACATAAAAGTTGGCATTTTATCCTTTCTTCAGAGCATCCTAAATATCAAGTATTCATTTCAATATTAATTTAAAAAGTATGATAGTTAAGTAATCAAATACTAAGAAAATATTTCTTACTCAAGTTATTACATTAATCTGATAATAATTTAAATTCAGCAATATTTCATTTTCATATTAAACAGAGGTACTCTTTTATTATCAGGAGCAGATTCAGAAATGTGGTTCAAATTCCATAATCGGGGTGAGCACCAAGCTTGGCGAGAGTTTTTTTATTTGGCATGATTTTAATTTGTTTGTGGTTTCCGGCTGTATGTTTTCTTGTGGCAAACCTAGAGCTTTATTTCGGTAAATGTAAGAGCACGAATTTAGTGTAGCCAGATTTTTTTTTTTTAATTTGATTTTGAAATACTGTGTTTGTTTTTAAAAGTTTTACTGTTTAATATATTGTTATATATATGTTTAATATTATATTATATAAATATTTGCAGAAGGTTAAGCTGTTGTTGGTGGGAGAATGTTGGATTTCATAGATGACATGTGAAGTTTATAATTTATGAATCTTTTCATTTAATTTTATTTTTTAGTTTATTTATTTTTCAGTTTTATTTCTTGCATGTGGCAATCGAAAGATGTGGAATATTTAACGTTCTGAAGCTTTTAAATGAAAGTTGTTTAGAGTGTTGAATTCCATGGACGATTGTTTTATCATTTAATCAATTCTTTTACTATTCTGTTTGCACATAATGAATCGCTATTCACCACTGTAAACGCATAAAATTTGCTATTCTGTTTACATTTAAAACTGACTTTGCAGTGCTCTGATTTGATAAGTGTACATACATTTATTTACTCAATAATTATTTACAAGAATTATTCATTCTACTATTTTATGATGAATTACATATATATAGGACTATGCTTTTTACTTGCAAAGCTGTTGGAACTTTGTTTTTACTCATCTAGTATTTTATCATCTTCATTTTACTATTCTCTTTACATAAAATAAAGGTGCGTTTCACTACTTCAAAACTTAAAAGTTACTATTCTGTTTACATTTAAAAATCACATTTTAGTGCTTTCATTTAGTGCGCCTAAAAATTCTCCAAATTTTGAAGACCAAAATAGTTTGGCGCCAACTTACCCCGCTTATGGAATTTTAGCCAGAAATGTATATATGTATGCATGTGTTCATGTAAGCATGTATATATAGTATATATTTAATGGGCAGGTGCTTTATTAATAGCCATTAGATGTTTTTATTTTATTTGGCTTATAATTCCTTACTAAATGTAGTATTTCATCTCGATGTACTCCATCTTTGATATGATTTAAATCAAATTCCTCATCATTATAATTTGCTTCCGATAGCGAAGAAAGTGACACAGAGGTTATTGAAAACGAAAAAATTTCGATTGACAAATTAGTCAGTATTCTCGACACAGCAATTATAGGACTTGAACAGCGGAACTTTGTAACTGAACAAGAAATTTTGGCTGTTTATAGAATTAAAGAGAAAGTATTATCACATAAAAACGAAGCAACTTAAACCACTTACATTGAAAGAAATGTTTAACAAAGTAAACAAATAAATATTAAGCTTTTTTTTTTTTTTTTTTTTTTTTTGTAAATTTTGATACCCTTTAGATTATAATTGTTCTTTATTTCATAAATTACGGTTTCATATTTTTAATTTTATAATTTCTGCATACCATCTTACCAGATTTAAACTGATGATCTATAATCCGGAAAAATCGATAATACAGAATCGCCGAAGTCCCGACGAGTCCGGATTAACGACTTTTGACTGTAGTATGTAAACAGGAATGGCACTGAAAAATCGCCAATTTTCACAAGGGGTACCCTGAAATATATTTTTACTCTTATATCTATATTTAACATAACATATATAAATATATATATATATATATACTATCAAATATTATAGCATAAATGTTTCAGAAAGAAGGCAGTCTGTGATAATCTAGTTGCTTTCATTTCATTAGTAATGAAACACATTTTCAGGTCGAACTTTTTAAATCTACCCCAGGAGAATAATTAATACTAGGAATCTGGAGTATGTAGATTTCAGATGAAGATGGATTTCCACTCATCTTTTGTTCACAGAAATTATTAATTTCTTCAATTATTATGTTCATTAGATTATCAAAAACAAATTGGGAAAAAATCAATTTCATTCACATAACTTTGAATTAAGTTTATTTCTACAATTCCCATAAATTCATATGGCTTCAATTACTTAGCAGATCAAGTTCACGACAGAATAGCCACTGTTCTGCTGGATTGTGAAAGTAAAACAAACTTCCAATTCAGTCTCAAAGAAAATTTCAGTATCAAAATTGCTACTAACTTAAATCTAGAGTTTTCGGTATCAAAATAGTCACTCATAGGCTTTACAATGGGTGGCAGGGGCATAATAGAAAAATACCCAAAATTCTTTTCGGAACACTTAAATATGTTAAAACTAATTCACCTAATTATGAAGTAATTTGATATTTTTTTAGCATTGTCACCGAATAAACTGAATTTAATTTCGTTATTATCTATACCACTATATGTATTATTTTCAATTTCATGGTCATGCTCTGTTTGTCCAATGTCAAAAATACTTAAGATTGTAGGCTCTGCTTTTATAATTAATTTTACATTTTGTTCTTTTCAGGTGTTAATCTGATTTACTTAATATACATTGAAGTAATTTCAGCGTGATAAAACCTTAGCAACATTTTTATTGAAAAGATAGCTTATACTATATTAATTCCTATTTTATGATGAGTTAGCCACTCATATAGTTATCCTAAGTCTGGTCTTATATAGGATGCAGTTTTTATTGTTAAAAAAGCCATCAAATAAATTGTTAGCGACATTTGAAATCTGACATTACAGAATGGGTAACTAAGTCTGCAAATTTTGGAAGCTTAAATGCAGTGGCTGCTTTAAAAAGTAAGTACTCAGACCACTTAATAGAGATACTAATGTAATTTAAGAAAGTATGAATTCATGAGTGGACTAAATTTAGAAATAATCTATGTTTAATTTTAAGATTAGATCACTTTGGAATCAAGTGTTTCTCCATTAACCAGGATATCTGCAAAAATGCATTGAAGCCCTTGTATTCAGATTTCATTGCAGCCTGGCTAATGATGCCTGATGATGGTTAATGATCATCGAGCTCAGGTTCAAATCTCAGACATACATATTTATAAGTGTATTTACTGCCTATGTGGCATAGAGGGACTCAAAATACATGTTCTGCTAAAAGTCCTCCTGTGTGGTTTGGTAACAACAGAAGAGTGGCAGACTATCAGATACATTCTCCTGGATATTCTTGATCAAAATTGGTATAAAACTGTGTAGTTAGTGGGGTGGGACTATATCTGTACAATCAATGGTGAAATTCTGATGTCTCACTTACTTCTTTCCTGTCCTGTGGATCTTCATTTCATATTTAAATAACATAATATCAGAATGAAACTTTATAATCACACAATTTCTCAAAGTTAGCAATCATAAAAAAACAAGTATATTATAATAACAACCTACTGGATATGCTTTACAAATATCTTAAAAAGTTTTAAAAAAGAAACGATTAATGATTATAGTGTGAACTCTAGTTTAAGTGTAGATTTTCCTAAATATCATTTTGTCCGATTCGAATTGGCATAATACTAGATGATAAAGATGGATCAGATTCAGATTTATAGAGTACTAGATGATAGATTAATGGATGAACTGCTGATTACAATATGGTTGCTGTTTTAACAAGTAAGTACCCAAGCCACTTAACAGAGTACAGAATAGCTTGTCTTAGACATAATGTAATTTAAGGCATTATGAATCTATTAGCAGGTTAAATTTGGAAATAATTTACTAAATTTCAAGCTGGATCATTTTGAAACTTAACTCTGATATGTCTTCATTTAAGACATACATTATTATTCTTATACAGCTGCACAAGAGCCTTGGTTTAGACGTATGCCTTCATATTATATTTGAATAACATAATATTAGATGAAACTTTTGATTAAACAAAGTTTTCAGAGTCATAAAATACAAGTAAATTATAACAGCAATCTATTGGATAGTAGAGGCTTAGCAAACACAGGATCAAGGTACACCAAACTTTTGTTACAAAATTTTAGAATGAAATGTTTTCCGTGGCAAATAGGAAGGAGCACAAAATCTTCAGTTGTTCCTGTGTGCTGAAAACCCTAGCTATGGTTCTGTTGGATGATGGCTAATAAAAATCTTGAATTTAAAAAAAAAAAAGAAATCAGAAAGGATTAGAATGTGAACCCTAGCTGATATCTGCAATTTCCTAGTCATCCTCCTGTCAGATTTTAATTGATATAGCATTGGATGATGAGAAAAAAATATTATATCAATCTGAATTGGGCCGGACTGGAGATTATGATGCAGTGGCTGCTTTAATAGTTAAATACCTAGGCCACTAAACAGAAATATGAATATTAGTTCAAAACAGTTTGAATCTATCAGTTCACTAAATTTGGAAGTAATCTGCTGGGCTTAAATCAAGTTTAATTACTCCGGAGCTCACCTCTAGTACTTATTCATACATTCAACAAATTAATTAGAATTTCCACAAGGGTTAGATGTTCATTTTCATTTTGCATCTGAATAATACATCAGATGAAATGAAATGATTAAATGAAGTTCTCAAATATGGAACTCATAAAATAAAAGAATAGAGTAACGGTAAAGTGTTGGTTAATGCTTAATGACTCAAAATTTAAAAAAGAAATCAAAGGATTACAATATGAATTCTAGCTTTAGTTTGTCCCTAGTCGTGCTTTTCATCATAGTAAGGTTGGCATAATGCTAGTTGCTACACACAATCGAACAGTAAGGATACATACTATTGAATTGATAACAGTTAATTACTTAATAGTAATTTTTAAAAAAATTAAGAAGGCTAGGATTAAACCTTTTTTTTTTTTTTTTAACTCAGTTAATTCATGAAAAAGACATGCCTACCATCGGTGCTTTCGAAGCTAGCATGGTACACCGACAGAAATACATCCTTCGCGACAGCGTGTGTTGAATTCATACATAAACATTTATTTAGTCTCATATTTTCATACAGATCAACACCTTTCTCCCAAACTTTAAACATTTCTCAATACTAGTTTTTAATCACACAAAGCATTAAATCCTCAGTCATGATATGGAACACACATCCGAGATTCCGAAACTAATCTACGCGCTAAAGACAAACATGCGCGGTGTACCATTCAATTCCCGACTAAAGCAGAGCAGTCATTTCCCTGATCAAAGACTTTTCCCTTTACTATAAAATTGGATTTTTTTTTTTTTTTTTTTTGTTTTGTTTGTTTTCCTTGTCTTTTAATTTTTACATTTTGATCAACTTTGCGATCCAGTTTATATTTACTAAGTGAAAAGAATACAATTCTTTAAGTATTTTGCACATTTTATATTTGCAGGCAAAAAAACCTACTTTGTAGTGCAAAAAGAAGCCATTCCTATTTTTTTCCTGTTCCATAAGTTTCTGATAGTGTCCTTTATGATGCTTTATGTACTGTTTGTAGTTTGTATGGTAATATAGATGAGTAGCTTGCGAAATAAATTTTCTATTAAGAGCTTACCGATTTTATTTATAGAAGCATCATTATTTCAAAAATGTCTTTATTACTTTTGGTATGTTGCCTTTTTGTCCCTAAAACTTTGTTTTTAAAAAACTGTGTCCTCTTAATCTCATATGTGATATGAGATCTATGAAATATATTTATTTAATTAAGTATAATCATAAACTAGGCATAATAAAACAGTGACTACTTTGTTGTTAAAAGAATCTGTGGGGAAAGTGCAGAATCACCCACTGCTTGGCGCGTTTTTAAGAATTGCACATACTCAGTATCCATGTCCACATCGACCTATTTTCACTTAAAAAACATCCCAGAATGCACAAAAATGGCATTGCGCACTCCCTTGACTTTATCCATGTACACATCGACCTATTTTCACTTAAAAAGTCAAAGAAAATTGACAAAAATCCAATTCCTCTTACTCTTGAAAAAAGCGCCAAACAAATGAGTGGAACATTCTGCACTTTACCCAATATCATTTTTAAAAAAGCCAAAAACTGATGCTTTTAATATTACGTCACATTATTCTTGACGTTTTTTCAAATGTCAAATTTGCATATTATAAAATCTGCTGCTTCCTCCCCCCCCCCCGAAAAAAAAAAGATTTTTTGAAACATTAGGTAAATTCTTGGTGTTTCCTTTGCTAAGACTTCTTAATGTTTCTTAAAATGGGCAATGATCAAAATTACCATTGTCTAAAAATACGTTTTTTTGCTTCAATTATTAAATTAAAATGTTAATGTAATTGCGTGAATTCAGGTTTTCATTACTTCTTTTATAACATTTTTATAATTTGTCTGAATATAAAAAATATAATGTTGCTTAGATCATAGAATATATTGCTTATAATTTACGGTTCTCAAATTTCTTTCATCATTACTTTTATTAATAGTTTGTTGACATAACAGTTGACTTTTTATTTTAAATTTTATGCAAATTTTCTGCATTACTTAAACATTTAATCTAACTGAAATCTGAATTTGTTGTAACAAAAACTCTATAATAAAAGTAATTGTACAATTTATATATAAAAATTTGACTACATGGCAAGTACTTAAATACTGATTTCAATGTCTTTAAATGTAATTATTGTAAAGTTTAGATATATTCTTATAAACATACATTCTTATTCTATTATGATGTTTAGATATATAGAACAGAAGGCGTACTTTGTGCTTACGACTCAGTCAATCACTTGTGGCAAGATAACTTATGTTAACAATTAAATTCAAATGTAAAATTTAAATTTCAAATAAACTAGTAGCCAAAGGCTACACAAAACAACTGAATGCAAAGTTGGCTCAAAACTAAACCTGCATGGAATTCAACTATCAACAGCTATAATGAAAGATTGAAAACTACAAATCTTATCTTATCTAACAACGTGGCCTCGAAAGCAAAACACGGTTTGTTTTGTAAACTAAAAACTTCATTTGCATCCTGGTGAGAAAACGGACAGGGAAAGTGACAGTAAAGATGCCAAACATAAAATAACTCTGGTTACAAAATAAAGGAACCTTACTTTGTTCCTTATTAATTATTCACTATATAAAATAGTGTAATGCATTTTTGTTTGCATCATATACAAATTATTTATTTAATTTTAATGCTTTCCAAAACTGAACAGTATTTGGCAAACATATTGATCATATTTTCGACCTATAGATATAACACTTCTTCACTTCAGAAATAAGATTTATTTCCTAAGAAATCAGTTAATTTCATGTGTTAAACATCACTCAATTGCTGTTGGAAAGACTTTTTCAGAATGAAAAAAGTGAGGTAACTAGAAATATTATTACCACAACTTTAAACCATTGTTATGTAAAACTTTTATATAAAAATCAGGGCTGTGGAGTCAGAGTCATGGAATCAGAGTTGGGCAGATTTTGGGCTAAAAGGAGTAGGAGCTGGAGTTGCTAAAAACAGCTCGACTCAAGACTCCAGATTTTGTTGGACAGTTTGAATTTGAAATAAAATTAAAGTGAATTGAAAAAAAAAAAAATAATAATAATAATGACAAACTGAATTATTATTTTTATTTATGGACTATATATATTAGTAAATAGTTATTTTCAATTTTATTCACATATTAATAAATAAATATATAGAGAGAGGAGGATGGATGTGATATTTGTCATTAGTGATTAAACATTTAGTTACAAATCTCACTGGTAAATTTAGGTAAAAAGCAATAGCATCAAGAAACTGATGCCATTCTTAGGAAGTGAGCAGGAAAAGGAGCTATTATTGATCAAGCAATGCAATGAGGAAGTACATATTTGATGATGTAGAGGTTGTTAGAATTAAGAACTTTTTTAGAAGATCTAGATAACCCTAATGTTTCACTAACAGGAAGACTGTGGAATGATCTTTCAGAATTGGAAACTCTTCTTTCTTTCCACGAAAAAGCTACAATCTGAAGAATTAAGAGGAGGCAAGAATCGAAGAATGCAATGTTTGTTCTCTCTGGAATGGAGGGTTTATTGCAGAAGGAATCATTTCTTCAATGAAGAAAAGAGAAACTAGTTTGCTAGACAATGAGAACTTGCTGCATTCAATATATATAGATCCAAAACACCGAATGTTGTTTGATAACGAACAAATTAAGAAGGCAAAGATAATATCTATGAACTTTCAATGAGAATGAAATTATTTTGAGAATAATTGGAATCATCACAGTCAAATTGCAGACATAGCAACTGAGTTTCTATTATCCGCTTTCAGTGATGAATTAGATGTTGAGAAATATTTTTGAATAGTATTGAAAATGTTAAGGCAAAACGAATGAAAATAAAGAACCAAGAGCCTTTAGATATGAAAATGGAAAATACAAACTAGATTTCTACATGGCCCCTGAAGAAATAGAGAAATATGATTGCTCTTGCAAGACACCTGTTTTAGAACTTATAAAAATCTATCCTGAAATGTTAAAAGATGTAGCCCTTAAACACTAACAGTAACAGCTCTTTTTCCTACTCAAATCAGTGTAGAAAGGTTCTCAGCTCTGAATATATCAAATCGGATCTATGGTCCTCCAACAAAAAAGATCTTGCCGAAGCTATACTGTTTCTTTGAATTAACTAATGCCAGTTTTTCTGTTTCATAATAAATGCTAATTAATACAAATCATTTGCTATGGCATCATTTTTTGGCTAATCTTTGGAATGTGGTAACAGGTAGTTTGGTGACATTTTGGTAAGGCGATAGAAGTTACTAGTTAGGACATTAGTAGTGTACATGGATAAAGTCAAGAGTGTGCGCAATGCCATTTTTGTGCAATTCTGGGATTGTTTTAAGTGAAAATAGGTCGACGTGTACATGGATGATACTGTGTATGTACAATTCTTAAAAACGCGGCAAGCAGTTTGCGATTCTGCACTTTCTCCCAATTTCGCACCTAATCTTCATCATGATTAAGCATTTTTGTTCCATAAAAGTTCTAGTATAAGCGTAATTCGGCTAGCAGATTGTTGGAAAAAATGTTGAGTTAAAAAAAAAAAAAAAACATGCCTTTACTTTGTGAAAACTAAATGGCATCCAAAACAAAACTAGCAGGTTGCTGTAGCAGGGTTGGTTGTCAAATTTTCCCCAAAAAATCGCCAAGTTACCATAATCCAAAGATTAACCCATTTTTTTTTCTGTAGCACTATTACTTATTTTATATTTAAAAAATAAGCTGTAACCCATGTGTTAATATATGTTTACACACATATAATTTATTTATAAATTATTATTTAAGAAATATTGATTATATTATCTCCTAATATAAATTTAGTAGAATGTATCAAAAAAGAGGGTATCCATATGTAGGAATTTTTAATTCCGAAAATTGTGTTTTGAACTTCTTACATATGGGTACCTTCTTTTTTGATACATTCTACTAAATTTATATTAAGAGATAATATAATTAATATTTCTTTAGTAAATAAATTATTATTATCTTACTTGCAGCTATTGCGCAAGTATTAGAAAAGCTTGTTTTCGAACTCGGTGAATTTTAGATCATTCAATATTTACACACACATGTATATGTATATGAGAGAGTTGGAGTCTTTAAAGTTCCAGGAGTCGAAGTCTGTCGTTTTCCCTACCAACTCCACAGCCCTGATAAAAATGATGTGGCTAGCTACAGCAGTGTAAAGCGTAGAAGAATAAAAGTAACATTACTTTTCAAAATATTTCATTTAACTCATAATTAAAAACAGTCTTTTTTTTCTTCATTAAAACAAGCTAATTTTTGTTACCTGATTGTAAAAGGACAAACAAAATATAGGGATCTGTATTTAAGAATAGAAAACAGTATTTATGAATAGAAAATAATGCTGGCTAGCAGAGGAAGGATGCCTTCATAAAGGACTTTTTAAGAGAAACTGGCTCAGATTCATATTACACGTAAGGAAAACCACAAAAACTTCCATATAGCCAGCCTGAACTACCAGTGTTCAGTGGCTTATCACTTCCCCCACTAGATGATTCCAATGACTGTTCGAATCTTTGCAGAAATCATCAGTTGTGACATTGTTGTGTATTATTACCATTGGTATAAAATTTACTCATTATAATTTAATTTTAGCTTTTAAATTATAATCATAAATTACTTGTAATA